GTGTGTATTCAGAATTCAAACTAAAGCTTATTTATGTCAAAATACAGTAATTTATAAGTTATTTTGCCATTATTCACTTTCCTAAAGTCTCCAGAACCACACTTTGCAGCTTACGCACGGACGCAGGCAGCAGACTCGCTGTAAGTCACGTCCTTGTTGTGGCTTTAAATCCTCCCGCTGAAGCAGCATTATTATCGTCATTTTAGAAATTTCATTGTCTGTACGATCGGTTGCAATTGGCTCGGTCTTTACACGGAAGAAGAGGGGCGGGCCCTGTCCTTCAGCGCGGCCTCTCGTTGGCTGTTGTAGGCTGTGGACAGGACATGGAAGCTCCTATTGGCTCAAGCGAGCTGTCAATCGAAAGGTCAGAGGGCAGCCGCCATTTTTAGAGCCAGATACCGGCAGTGTTTACATGCGAAGTGGAGTTACAACGGAGGAGTGTTAACAGACGTTGGGAGGTTTGTTTTCTTACTTTGTTACTAGCAGCTAGCAGCTAGCAGCTAGCAGCTAACTGAACAACCCGCACACAGGCTGCTGAGTACGTCGCTGCTACGCGTCAGACAGCTTAGTGAGTTCTATGTAGTTTGATGACGTGTCTTGTATGACGACTTCGACCTGATTTCTTGCATTCGTCGCTGCTAGTTCTGAGTTTTAAGGAAATGTGTAATCGGTGTGTCTGAGTTAGCCGATGGTGGATCGTATTCATCGATCACATTAACAGCTGTGGTCGTTGCAGATCTGAGCTCTACTGAGAGCGCCGCTCTAGTCTGGAAGGAAGTTGGTTTGTTGAAGTTTGATTTCATTTTACCTTCTGAATTATTTTATCAGGTGAAAGGAGGCGATTGGTCAAAACATGCAAATATTAATTTAACTGATGACAACTGGCGGCCATTTATTGGTTCATTCTTGTAGATGTGAGTTATATGTATATAATATATATATATATATATAAGATCAAATATGTCTTATTGTCACCAACGGGACATTTAGTTTGGCCAACAGAGCTGCAACCTGTAGAATACAATACGTAGCAACCAGACAGCGCAGTGGTAGACCCACCACCAGACCTATCAGAAGATCATTGATTATTGTTGCCTACAGACGTCGTGTGAACCAATCAGCAGCAGCCTGCCGGGGAAACAGGAAGCCGTGGCGACAACAGCGATCCAGAGAGTAGACAAGAACCACGATGAAGAGACGGCCATCGAGTCTGTGGATGTTTCAGCTTTACAGTGACTTCTGCTCCGCCCTTTAATAACCCCCAACTTCCTGCCACATGAGAACCTGAAGGACTCAATCATCACCTGTGGACTTTCCTCTCACATCAGAGACACAGAGCAGAGCTCAGTCTTTGTTGATAATAAACTTGATATAACTACTAATCCCGGTTATGATTAGCATTCATATAACACTGACTGCGATTGTAGGCTATTCGTCTATTTCATAATCGTCATTTTGTGTAATTGTGTCTTGTATCATATAATCGGATAAGATCCAGATCTCTGTCTCTGATTACAGACTTTATTATAGATAACATTATATAACATTAATAACACATAATCATTCATATTTTATAGACGTTTCAAGACGTTAGTATTATAAAAGTAACAGCATGAAGAAAGCAACATTAGCATAAAAAGTAAAGTTTATATTAAAGTAATAAAGTAGTGTTGAACCCTTCAACATACAACCTAAAATATGAGTCCAGCTGATCAACTGATCATTGGTTATTAACCACATCCTCCTACTGTCAGAGTATCTTTGTAGAACTGTTATTATATATCTTTACTTATAAACTATAAACTTATAAAGTTCTACTTCATTATACATTTTACTATATTTTATCATTTTTATCATATTGTACAGTTTTACTTTTTTATTCATTTTTACCTCATTATAGTCTACATGGAGTTCTGTTGTGCAGCGTTGATATTTTGCTGCTGATGCTATCTCTCTCTCTTACACGTGTAAAACTAAATAAATACAGCTGAAAACATTTCACCTTGTTCAATATTCATTTTAGCCGGTGGCTGTCACCAATAAATGATAAGCCCCCACAGTGGCTCTCTGTATCCGCCCTGATGAACAGCAGCTGGAGGCAGGAAGACATTTTAACAGGTGAGTGATACAACATGGTTACTGCTCGGGTAGGACTCAGGTAGGACTTATGTAGGACTCAGGTAGGACTTATGTAGGACTCAGGTAAGACTCATGTAAGACTTATGTAGGACTTATCTAGGACTCAGGTAGGACTCAGTGAAGGATAGGATACACTGAGCTCCTCTCACCTGATCTCTCTCTCTGAATTTATGTCCCTTTAATGCACATTATTAACTTTGCTTTTTCCTCAGTCTTTTGCTTTCTCTCCTCACAGGTTTTGTGAGGAATTTCAGTTTTAAAGCGCTCCTAATTATGGATATAATGTGATACAGTATATTTACTTGTAGGAGTCTGGTCATTTCATGCATTAAGTGTCTGTGAGGGGGTTTGAGGAATGTGCTGGAGCGGGGGTTGTGTGAAAGTGGCTGGCTGAGGTGTTAACATCAAGACAATGGCGCATAGGCCCAGGTGGGGCTTGTTGGACTTCAGCCAATCAATGAGCAGATCGATGAGCTGAGGAATGTAACTCTGGGGGGACAAAGGGTTTGAAGCTCTGGGGGATTTCAGATCTTCTGCTGGCCACCCAGGAGGCAGACCAGCCTCCTGGGTGGCTCGGATTGGATCTCACATTTCATGGAATTCATATGTTTGTTTTGTTATTAGTGGTGTGATTCGGTTTGTAACTGTCTGTATCTGTTTCTATGCTTCTTGGATAATAAATCCATTTGATTTTTTAACCTGCTGTTGTGTTTTGGAGCTGATTGAGAGCACATGGCTGCAAGGGGGGGGGGGGGATTTCTCCCTGGGAAGCTATGGCCATAACAGTTTCCATGGATCCTGGTTTTGTCTGGACCCTGGTCCTGCTGACACCCACTGCTGCTATCATTATTATTGTTATTAGTCACATGTATATATTGCCGATAACATTACTTATTTTATTATCATTATAATTCTACTATATCCACTGCTGCTGTTATTACTAGTAGTCATAATGTTTCCATCATCATTCTGCTTATACTCATTATATGAATCATTTGTGTCATATGCGTTGATGTTCATGTAAACTAAAGTAACTAAGTAGTGTATGAAGTGTGAATAAAGGCGTTAGTTAGAAGCTACAAAGCGTTTAGAAACAGAGACTTATGTTTGTGTTCCTGCCGCGTTGGTCGCTCGTTCTCACGCTGCTCATGTTCATGCTGCTGGAAGTCATGTTGCCTCTCTGGTTGCTCGGCTGGTTGCTGATGTTGCTGCTGTCTGTGGTGGTTGTAGGGTTGCTGTTTATAGCAGCTGAGCAGCTGAAGCCTTTGGTCCAAACAGCCTGAGCCAGCAGGGCGTCACAAAGAGACGCTCAGCGCTCGGCCTTTCTCTTAGAAACTACAGACTTGCTGGGTTAACTTAACGTCCACTGCATGCGGAACTTTGTCGACTGTTAACGTTCGTCATTATCGCGATTTAGGAGGAAAAAACGTAACGTGATGAAACATGCAATAATACATTTCATGACCACGAAACATGAGGCCCAGATACTGAAGAGATGATGAGGTCAAAGAGCTCCAGGGAGAGGAGGCTGGTTGTGTAGCGCAGCTTGACGCAGGGCTGAGCTGTGAAGGAGCTGGGCCTGGATAAAGGTGGAGCTGGGCCTGGATAAAGGTGGAGCTGGGCCTGGATAAAGGTGGAGGTCTAAACAGCTTGTTGTTGTTAAATGTTGTCTTATCGCTTCATTTTCTTCTCAGAGTACAACAGAATGCTACATTTTAAAGCTCATATTTAAAATATAATTCTCACCTCGGTGCCATCTGATTGAGACTTAATTGATCAATATATAATCTTGAATATTTCCCAGTAATTGATTTTTTAATTATCGTTTAATATTTTATATGAATTAATTAATTATTATTTATTAAATCTGCACAAGCAATAACACTACAGTGTTTTTCCTTCTAAACTGGGCCTTTGTCAAATCAGCAGCAACCAGAGGTGAAAGCAGGCCGGCACGGTCCGCTGCTCCGTACCACTAAAGGATTCAGTGCCGGGACGCAGTAGAAAAGGGACCATCTGAAGAGCACCTGTATGCACCAGCATCTGCGCTCTTCAAGTGGTGAGTGTCATTCTAGTTTTCTTATAAATTGCTTCTAAATTGTTCCAGTGTCGGTGTGTTTGTCTCCAGCACAGATCTGTAGGTTTATAGTCTGTGCTTGCTGCCTTTCCAAAACTGTGTTTGCCTACTTGGGGGCAAATGTCCACTGCATCAGCTGTCTGACATCAAGTTCTCCGGGTTTTTGGCAGGCAGTCGTTTCTTGCAAAAATCCCCCAAATAAAATGAGAAAACAAGTTTCCTGAGGTTGAGTTTTATTCTATCTACAGGTCAAACAGATGCGACTTCTGCATCTCTGCAGGCATAACGTAAGGTTACTTCCCTGAACACACACGGTGCTTCCAATCTGTTGTCAATGAATTTAGTTGTACTTTTCTCTTATTGTTCTACGGCGTTTCCACCATTTAACTCTCCTCCTACCAACATATTTAAGATAGAGTAACTAGTGTAACTCGTGAAAGAATAAACTGCTGTAAGAAACAACCATCAAAGCAACATGCTTCTTCTCAAAATGAGTTACGTCATTTATCTCATCTGAAGGGAAAAAAAGATCATTATTATTTTAGGAAATTATCATTAGTTCTTTTTTTAATTTTATTTTTTTTATTATAATTTCTTCATCCCGCAAGGGGAAATTGTTCTCTGCATTTGACCCATCCATGTATATAGGGAGCAGTGCAGAGGGTCAGTGTCACTTCGGCACGGGACACGTAACAGCCAAGGATCGAAACGCCGACCTTGCGGTTGCCGGACGGCCCTCTCTAACCCATGAGCCACGGTCGCCCCAAGTTCATTGTGTAAAACAGAAAATGACACAGCACATGAAGACATCTGTGTGTGTCTCCCTCAAAATAAAGTAGCAAACCTATTATCTGTTTTATATATCAAAATTGTATAGGCTTCAGCTGGGGGTGGGCGGAGAACAATATGAAGCAATGAGTGTTGGGGTAGTAGTACCGGCAAGAACTTCAATCTAGGTTCGGTACTCGACCCCCTCCTCTTCATACTCCATGGTAACATCATTTCCACTGCTATGCTGACGACACCCAGCTCTACATCTCCACCAAATCCATCACCCCCACCACACACTACACCATCACCAACTGCCTAACAGATATAAAAACCTGGATGCAAGCCAACTTTCTCAAACTCAACACCGACAAATCTGAAATCCTCATCATCGGCCCCAAATCACTAAATCTTGCCCAAATCTCGCCCGCACCGTCAGGGAGGTGGAGCGTGAGCGCGCGCGATATGACCCGAAAGATGGTGAACTATGCCCGGGCAGGGCGAAGCCAGAGGAAACTCTGGTGGAGGCCCGTAGCGGTCCTGACGTGCAAATCGGTCGTCCGACCTGGGTATAGGGGCGAAAGACTAATCGAACCATCTAGTAGCTGGTTCCCTCCGAAGTTTCCCGCAGGATAGCTGGTGGAGTCCCCCCCCCCCCCCCACTGCATTCACGTGAATATGGCGTATAGAAAGTGTTGAGTCATAATTCTCGCCGTGCCTACGTTACCTGAAGGCAACGTGGTTGAGGACAGTCCTCAGCCTTCTTTGTTATGCTGTCACTCATGATGACACGCCCCTCTCAGTTGATGCCACGCCCCCCCCACGCCAGATCAGGGCCAAAAGTCTGAACTGAAAAAAACGATCTGAAACCGAAAAATATAAGAACTCAAATATCAAAATATATATGAAAGTGAAAAATTTAAAAGAAAAATGTATTAAAAAAAATTACAGAACTGAATCAAAATTATATTCAACCCAAAAAACATTTTCATTCACTTATTTGTATTTTGAATACATTGCTGTAGTTTTCAATGTGCAAGACCACAACTTGAACTTTAAGGTTCAAATTTTTTTTTCAAATGATCAAAACTTTTGACCTGGATTTAGCTCCACAAAGCTGCATCCATTTAACACCCGTTTTAACGTCAATGCTTATTAACACAAGCCAAAATGGCGACTCACGGCACCGTGGAGAAGGTGACTCTAATACACTCAGCGGCTCCCCCACGATGAGAACAGGTCACGGCACCATTGTAGCAGTACTCTCTCTGCGGTGTGTTTTGATTCAGGCACGTTATGTCTTTATGGCTCCAACCAGCCGTTTATTCACAGGACAGCATAAAGTAGCTCATCACGGAGACAGCGTGCAGCAGACCGGTCTGCAGGAGCCCAGCAGGGGGCGCTCATGTGACACACAAACACACTTGTCTCTGTGGGAAACTAATGATTACAAGTTGTAAATGATATTTACAGAAATAGAGGAGGACATAATATGGCTTAGTAATAACTTAGATAATACAGTAACATTAGTGATGAAGTGGAATCATTAACTGATCATTTGAATCGTGTGTTTATGAAGAAAAAAAACACAACAGATTAGTATAACAAAGTAGAAGTATAACATTTAGTATTTTTGATGTTTTACTTCAATCATGTTTTGGACGATGACAAAAAAGATACAATATTGTGGATCCTTGTAGACCGGCTGCTGTAATAAAAGATCAAAGAGATCTGAATCTGTTAATGTGGATCAACGATCAATAACTAAACGTTTCCCTTCTTTCTTTTGAGCTGATCCGTTGCTCCACTAATGTTTATTACTTCCTGTAAATGCTGTACGCAGCCTCAAGTGTGTTTGTCTGCTAACAACAACAACAACAACAACAACAACAACAACAACAACATGGTTGTTTGTGCAGCTTGTTGACAGTCAGCAGCTCAGAGCTTCTGATGGAAGTGACGCTTTGCTGTCGGTCAACGGAGGGACTGTGGTAGCACTAGACACTACATTACCCATGATCCTCAGCTCCAACCCTTTAAAGAGACACTCAGCACTTTGGTACAATATGTGAACAACTTGTTGGAAGTTTGAAACAATAAACAAAACTGTAAATTGGCGTCTTGTTACATTCTTCCAGAATATCTCCGCTGATGATGGAGGCCGACGTTAGTCTGAGGCTCAAGCTAAGAGAAGAACAGTTTGTCTCTTACGGACCTTTAGAGGAATACTTTAAACGTTACATCTGGTTTGTTGTGACATCCAGAACACAGTCATAAAAAAACACTGATGCAGCACAACAGCATTATATTCAGTATTAAGGCACCGCTTCACTCTTATTATTAATAATCGTCTGACTATTTGGGGGATGATCTTGCTCCAACTTTTAGAACTACGCTGCCCACGAACAGGAAGTCTCTCACAATCACATGGATAACAGATCGTAGAGTTCTGCAGCGTCCACCAGCACAAGAACTGAAAGAAGACGACCCAGTCAGTTGTTGTGGGCGGCCTGGATCAGAAACAAGCCAATCAGATGCAGGCTCATTAGAATATACTGTCCCTCATCTGAGACTCACTGGGCTTTATTAGGATGATGAGTAGTTTGAACATTAAAGCGTGTAAACATTTAGAAACCAAACATAAAGAAATGAAGCTGAAATGAGCAGAATGTGTCTCCTTTCATTTATTTTTCAATATGAGTTACATTTAAAAGTCATGAAAGGCAAAGGTATGGTATGTATATATATATATCTATGTGACTATACATATATCATATGTATAATCATAGTATAGTATGTCGAAAAATATCATGAATAAAGTCATAGTTTAGTACAGGCATCACCAACCTGAGAGCTACTTCAAGGGTACCGAGTAGCACGAAGGACTTGTTTGATACAAACTTCCTGAATAACAAAGTTGCACAAATCACCTTTTAATAATAATAATAATAATAATAATAACAATATATGTGAGGAGCGTCTTCGGCGCCCGCGTTCAACCTTCTAGTCCGGGCCTCTATGGTCGGACTGCGTAGCCTCGCCTCTACCCCCCCCGCCCCGCCCACGAGTTGTTGCCCTGCGGCCTGTTCCGATGACTGACAGACCCGAAGACGGGGTGCGGAACCTGAAAACCTAGTCCGGTGCGGCGGACTCGTCCTGGCTGTCCGCCGCGCGCCTCGGGGTATCCAACTCTCTTATGACAAGAAATATTGTCATTTTAAAATCTACACTAATGCGTTTTTGATTAAAAAAGAACAGCAACTAAAATGTTTAGACGGAGCTCCATGGGGACTAGTGCTATTTTTACAACATGCCTTGCGGGTGACTCACGTGTTCCCCGCTGGGCACCGTGTTGGCTACCTCGGGTATAATATGTCATATTGAAATAAACGTGTGACTAAACTATTTTTGTGGACCAATCAGAGGGGAGAAACATAAACATTCAAGAGGAAAGACAACACTATACTTTAATATCTGAAGAAAGGACAAAGTATTCTGTTGTCAGAGAAGATGCAGCAGCCCTCATGTTTACATCATCCAATAGGCAGCCGCTGTTTCCAAACAGCCAATCACATCACAGAACATCACTAGGGCTGTCTCTTCTTCTTCGTGTTCTTTGAGGTTACGTATGCACTCACAAACACTCACACACAAACATACACAATTATGTTTTCTCAAACATTTTGTGCAGATATTCATTGAGGTGCAACACTGCCGCTCCTGTCGCCGTTAACATCAAAAGTCTTTCAGGTTTTAGTTAGAAGTCTTCTTTCATTATGTCGGCGGTTCAACGTCCTTCAACAACAAAATGTAGATGTTCTATGTTCTAAACTGCTCAAAGGTACAGATGAAGAATGTATGATACATGTTTGGGAGGTACGTGAGGATGAAGACGGTCCATTGTTGGAGGTTACCAGCACTCAGCAGCCGGATAACAGTCCAATAAGAGACACCGGAGAACGTCAAAGAGAAGTTTCAGGGTTCCACAACAACCTTTAGAAATGAATTATTCAAGAACACACAGAATCTGTCAGGCACCTTTAGTGGGAGCTTTGGAACCCCATCAAAGATGTTTTTAGTCTGTTAGACCTTTAGAGAACTCTACAGTTAATATATTAGAGATTTGTCAACATGACCAAAAAGACCTGTCAGATCATCAAAACAGCTATTATGAGTTCAAACAAGACGAGTTCAGAAACCTTTCAGAATACCCAGACAACTGTTAGACTGTTAAATATCCTGCAGAGCCCTCAGAGACCAATCTACTGTCAGGAACCTGCTACAAGATCTAGAATTATATCCAAATGTTGTTTTAACAAATAAATAATATTATAGGAACCTTCAGGAACCCAGCAGAATCCAGAGGTTTATTCAGACACTTTGAACAAATACCTGGAGCTTGTTACAATATGCAGGAACCTACTGGGACCTTTAGGAATCCATCAACTGTCAGGAACCTGTTACAACATTAAGACGTCTATCTAAACCCTTAGACAAACAACAGAAACTATAGAAACTGGACAGAACCCAGCAGAACCTTTAAAGGTTTATTCAAACCCTTAGGAAAAGGACAGGAACCTGTGACATTATGCAGGAACCTATAGGAACTTTAAGGAATGCGTCAGGATCTGTAGAAAGCCATCAAAGTTGTTTTGAATCTATTAGACGTTTAAAGAAAATGAAATATAAAGAGTCCAGAAGAATTACATTTTTAGCATTTAGAAACCTCAGAAAACCTGTTGGAACCATTATGAGTTCATCCAGGTTTCCAGAAGCCTGTCAGAACATTTACTTCAGAAGCTTTAGGAATGCATCAACTCTCAGGAAGCTGTTACAACCTTTAGATATCTTCCACACCTTTAGACCAATAACACAAATCAAAGGAACCTTGTTGGAACCTTTAGAAATCCCTCAGAACTGTTCATCAAGAACCTGTCAGAACCTTTGGGGACCCGTCAGAAGCAGAACTTTCAGAAGCCTTTTACGTGGCAGTAGGCCTCCAACGAGGAGAAGACAATGTACATTAACCACAGGCTGAAGAACAGGCAGGTGGTGAGGACCTTGGGGACTCTGGGTCCGCCGAGCTCCCCACCGATCTCGGGCCGGCGGCGGTAGATGAGTACGGCGATACAGATGAAGGCAAAGATGGTGAAGAGTGTGACGGAGAAGGCAAGCGTGCCCGGGTCAACCTTGAACTCCTCACCCTTGGAGTAGTGGTAGACGGCAGCGATGGACCAGGCCACGCCAATACCCAGGAAGACGTTGACAGCGTTACTTCCTGTCACGTTACCGATTGAGGCGTCGGCGTATTGGTCCTGGGTGGCTGACACCTTACTGGCAAAGGTGTCTGAGGGAGAGAGAAAGTGGAGATGATCGGCTGTGTTTGAGATCCATCAAGTCGATTTAACTGCTGCTGTTTGACTCATACTAGGGACTAAACGTCAGGATATCAAAACCATATCTCAATTTATTCACCAATTTCTGTTTAATCTGTCTCACAATTATGGAAGTGAATGCAAACCAGTGGAGTTCCCCTGAAGAGAGAAAACAAACCCAAACCAATAATCCTGCTTTCACTGCCATCTAGTGGTTGCTGCATGTCATCTCTGTATTGGTACAAGTACAACAAACACACCTGTACACACCTGTGATGTTGGGTGTGGTCAAAGTGTATCAGTTTATTTTTGAGTTCAGAACTGGTTTTTACCGTAAAGGTTAGGTTGACGCTTGGCAGACTCTACCATTTTTTACTAATCTTGTGAAGTCGCTTTGGACAGCAGCATCAACCAGATGAATGTAAAGTACTGTAATCGGAAGTGAATCAGACCTGGTACAGATGTGCCCAAAGCTACGAACACCACAGCAGTGACGGAGTCTTTGAGGCCGACGGTGCAGCCGAAATGCGACGCCAGGTCACCGATGAATGCCGTCAGAATGCCGATGACGGAGATGGAGACGACGAAGCAGGCCCAGCCGTTGAAATAGTCGGTGGGAGGAACTAAGGCAAACAGAATCTTCCAGAAGACGGTGAGGAAGTGCATGACGTAGTCAAAACAGGAGGGCAGCTTCTCCTCGCCGCATTCATCATCATCATCACCTGGACAGGAGAGGGAGGCAGAGCCGGGACTCAACACTGATTCACATTTAAAGCTTGGGCGGGTTGTATTAGATTGACTCAGGTAAGTTCTTACCAGAGCTGACTGTGATGGCCTCCACAAACTGCTCTCTCCAGCTGTTCGTCCCGATCACCAGGGCCAGGTTGGTCTTCTTAAGGAGTTTATCCACGGTGCTCTGAAAGACAGCAGGTCACAGGAAGCTCCACCGTCAATCACCAAGGTCAAGCAATGACAAGTCAGATCATGTTCCTCTTTGTTCAAATCCTCCCATCAGATTGGTCGCCGATCTAAAGATCAGTAATGAAACAGAAACAGAAACTCAACCCACCTTGAACTCGTACGACTCCTCTATGACGACCTCCAGTTTGATGTGCTCGCCCAGCATCGGCCGACCCATCTCTGCAATCCTCCTCTCCTCCTCCTCCTTCTTGGTGAAAACCTCCTCACCCCCCTCATCTGAGAGAGAGAGAGAGAGAGAGATAAAGAGGTAAAGAGAGACAGCGAGTGAGAGAAAGAAGGAGAGAGAGAAAGAGAAAGAAGAAGAGAGATAGAGAAAGAAAGAAGGAAAGAGAGAAGGAGAGAGAGAGGGAAGAAGAGAGATAAGGAGAGCGAGAGGAGGAGAGAGTGACGGAGAAAGTGAGAGAGAGAGAGAGAGAAGGAGAGATAAGGAGAGAGATAGAGAAAGCAAGAGAGAGGATGCATGATGGGTGGTATAGGCATCATATGGCATAATATTGTCATAAAATAGTGATAGTACAGAAACCATCAAAACATTTTAAAATGTCACTGTATAGTCTGTCAGAAAGAATCACACTGGATGAATGGATGGAAGGACTGATAGACGGATTGATTGATGGGAGGACCGATGAATTTGAGGAGGTGAGTGAATGAAGACGGACGTACCTGCGATGTTGATAATGGTGGAGGGGACGGGGTGGTCTCGTCCCTGGACCTTCCTGTAGACGTCTCTGCCTTAACAGGTAACCACAAACTGATGTCAGAAACAGAACCTTAACCAGAGAAAGTCACATCTCCATCTCCATCCACAACAACCACAACAACAGCCACAACAACAACCACAACCACAACCACAACCACAACCACAACAACAACCACAACAACAACCACAACAACCACAACAACAACCACCACAACAACAACCACAACAACCACAACCACAACAACAACCACAACAACCACAACAACAACCACAACAACCACCACAACAACCACCACAACAACAACCACAACAACAACCACAACAACCACAACCACAACAACAACCACAACCACAACAACAACCACAACAACCACAACAACCACCACAACAACCACCACAACAACAACCACAACAACCACAACAACAACCACAACCACAACAACAACAACAACCACAACAACAACAACCACAATCACATCTTGAAGAGATGAGCTTTGCAAAAATCTAAGAACTATGTTGGCATGAACAACAGGAGTTTTGTCTGAAACTATGAAAATAAAATGAACGTACCCCTCAGCCCTTATAGGTGGAAGAGGTCAGAGGTTGAGTTACTCATCCTAGTGTCCTTTCAATAACCACTTCTCCTTGACCTCAATGGAAACGTCACAAGGTCAAGGAAAGATGCGAAGGAGAATTCTTAAGGACTTAAGGAAAAGACGACCGTGGTGCTCAGAGAATCTGACTGCACTGACACGAGGCTACAGACATTTGTTTAACTTTATTTATAACGTAGAGAGAATGAGAACAGTGAGTCTGCTATACAATTCAAGTAAAGATCCAAAACAGAGTCACAGCTCCTGAGAAGGATGCTTTCAATTCATCCACAATGTAGAATTACCTAAACCTAACTGTTGGTTTAGTTGTCTAAACCTAACTGTTGGTTTAGTTGTCTAAACCTAACTGTTGGTTTTGTTGCTTAAACCTAACTGTTGGTTTTGTTGCTTAAACCTAACTGGTGGTTTTGTTGCTTAATTCTAACTGGTGGTTTCGTTGCTTAATCCTAACTGTTGGTTTTGTTGCTTAAACCTAACTGTTGGTTTAGTTGTCTAAACCTAACTGTTGGTTTTGTTGCTTAATCCTAACTGTTGGTTTTGTTGCTTAATCCTAACTGGTGGTTTTGTTGCTTAAACCTAACTGTTGGTTTAGTTGTCTAAACCTAACTGTTGGTTTTGTTGCTTAGTCCTAACTGGTGGTTTTGTTGCTTAATCCTAACTGTTGGTTTTGTTGCTTAATCCTAACTGGTGGTTTTCTTGCTTAATCCTAACTGGTGGTTTTCTTGCTTAATCCTAACTTGTGGTTTTCTTGCTTAATCCTAACTGGTGGTTTTGTCCTGAAAATAAATGAGTTACGAGGGACATGAAAAACTGAAACCAATAGATTGCATCTCGTGACTATTTCCTGAAATGCTGTGAGACTGATGAAGATTAAAGTGCTGCAGCTCTGTTATTGTCTGTTGTTGCTTTAAGTGTTGTAAAGCTTTAACGCTAACGTTTCCACCGATGAGAGGTGTCTGACCATACAGCTGTTTGTCTGCCCAGGAGCCAAACAGGACAAATGAACTCAGATTCACAGGAAGTGTTCCAGTATTATATCACTACCAATGAGACGATGCAGAGAAAGTGTCCGTGTTCACCCACCTGTTTTGACGAATCCACCTGAAAGGATAGAAAATATGAAAGAAGAAGTCAAACTTAGTTCTGATTTTAGAGTCAGTCCGCATTTGAATTCTAAAATGAACCTAACTGTATTTCAGAGATATGATGAATGAGGCAAACAGCAGGACAGAAAAGGAAACATTAGAGCAGCTTACCGACTTCCTGAAGCAGCACAGCTGAAGAGAAGAAACAGAGAGAGACGAAATCAGAGAGAAAAAAGAAGCAGGAAAACAAGAAAGAAGAAGTTAAAAAAGAGGAGCTCAGATCTTCTGAAGATGGAGAGTTTAGTTTCAGCTGAACATGATTCGGTCCTGATCTGACTGAGAGTATGATGGCAGGACCACGTTCAAGTCCAGATGAAGGATTCACGCATGAAGAACTTCACTCCTCACAACATGAAAGTGCATCACTGTGTTCAAACGTTTCCTGTTTCCATGTCAGTAGGAGTTCTATGTCAGTGTTTAAGGGAAAGCACACACAGGCAGGTTTACTGAGACAGGGACAAACAGACCGCAAGCTCACCTGTCCTCACCTGTCATATAACATATTCAAACCTCTCCAGACATGTCTATACTCGTTCTAACTTGACCAAACCAGTCCAGACTGGTCCTAACCTGTTCCAGCGTGTCCAAAACCGTCATGTCCACACAGTCCTAATTTCTCCCAAGTATATGCTAATCTGTCCCAGCCAGGACCAACAATGTCGTACTCTGTTCTTGTCATTCTCATTCTGTCCTAACCAGTCCCAACTGGTCAGAACTTGTCCAGACCTCTCTGTCCCTCAGTGACCCAACCAGTGGAAAGCACCCCATCCTGTCCCTACCCCTCCCAGTATGTCCTAATCAGTTCTGACCAGTCCCCTTACCCAACCGATCCAACCAGTCCAACCAGTCCAATCAATCCAACTTATTCCAATCTTCCCACACTAGTTCTAACTAGTCCTAACTGTCGGACAGTCCCAGTTTTTTTGACCTGCCATTGAGTGTCCCACCACATCCCAACAAGTTGAAAGTACCCCTTCCTGTCCTAACCAGTCCCAACATGTCTTTCTCATTCCTAACCTTTCCAAGCCATTTCTCACCTGTTCCCAACTACTCCAAACTAGTCCCTAGCACTCAATCAGTCTCAACCAGTCCAGACCTGTTCTAACCTGCCCTAACTAGTCCCACCATGCCCCAACTATTCCTAACTAGTTCTAACCCACCAACACCTTAGACAACTATTTTATTCTAACGCCAGTTGTAGTTCTCGCGCTCAGTCCCAACCAGTCCACACTAGACCACTCTAGTCCCATTCTAACCTGTCCTGTCAACACTCCTAACTAAAGTTCTCTTGACTGGTTACTTGTCATAGTTAATCTTGACCAGTCCAAACTAGTGCTAACCAGCCTGATTCTAAAACCAACAGGGCTCAGCTGATGGCATTGTGATGCACGTTTCCAATGTAATCACCCGAAATGAATGTTTGTTTTCAGCCTCGTAGATATGAGTTAGAAGGGGGCTGCTGCACCTGCTAGTAGGTTCAGCAGACCGTTATCCTCCAATCACGATTGATCACCGATAAAAATGCAAGAAGACGACGCCGACCTCTAGTGGCCGAAGTGATTATGACGGAAGCAAAGCAGGGAGTCAGGTGACGTAGCACAAATTCTACATGGAGGACGGGTTGGATGGACGAGGTCTAACCGACACAGGACTTTGACCACGAGACAGCTGTCAGTGTCCCGTGTGAAACCAAAAGACAACTTACTTTTGTTACATGACTTATGTACTTAGCTAACGTTCTTATCTTAATCCAAACCAGGATCTTTTCCTAAACCCAGCTGAGGAGTTTTGTTGCCTAAACCTACATTTGTTTTATTTCAGTTTCTAAACGCAGCTTCAGTTTGGCCCCTCTGAGGCAGTAGAACCATGGTGATGATGACCACTGATGAAGCTCATTCAATCGGCTGATAACATTCAGGACGGGTGGTGAAGGAGGAGGCAGCCCAGCGACAGCAGCCGGACAAAACCGAACAAAAGTAGGAAAAGAGCGCCTCGAGGTAGATGAAGGAAAGGTCAGAGGTGTCTCTTCACACCTGTCCATCTCCTCTGGTTCCAACATGGCTCCTGCAGCTCTATGTAGAAGTTGGCCTGCTTATCGTACTCGTCATGGTCAATTACTCTAACTGCTATGGTCTTCCTGCGGACGACAGAGTACAGTGGGAGGGGAGGTCAGGGGTCATGCGTTAGTTCACAAACACATTCAAACACACTCATAGACGCCGACAGATGCAATCTGACAGGACTCCGTCGTCATGGCAACACCGTGGCAACAGGGATGAGCTCACCTCATCTGGCCTGCAGGGAGGAAGTTAAAGAGCCAATTCACCCAAATCATCAGGTTGAAACACTTGTTCCTGCTCACACCTGGTGGATTGCAGTCACGCAGACTGTTGTTTGGGTTTCTCAGGTTTTAAGGAGGAAAGTAGTAAAGGTGTTTTGGGATCCCATGATGCATCTGAGTAAGACACATCCAATCACAGAGCTTCAGGTGATGCTGATAAAACATTTATTTTGCTTGTTTAATCTTCTCTTCATTTACAGGCTTGGAGCAGCCACCTGTCTTAGCCCGGTTTGACTTATTTTGTTATTTTCACAATAAGTTTTCAATTTGCATTTGAGTTGTTTTAGAAGAACTTTAAAAAAGAAATTCTTTCTTTTCTACTTTGTCTACAGGCTTCCACACACAATAACTATGATAAAAGTTCATGTTAATAGTTTTGTAACTGGTATTAGTTGTCTTGCTTCTGTTTGTGAGGTGTAACCAGGAAGGATTATTTTTCACTCCTGTTATCTGGAGATCACAAGTTAACTGTTTTGTTATCTTCTTGTGATAATTGGTTCATTTATGCTGAAAGAGAAAACAAAAGGCGGAGATAAGTAGTCCAAGCTTGATCAGCACCACAGGGGCCTGGACAGCTCTGCTTCAGGCTAACCGGGCTTCAGTGGTTCCTCCGGGTTTAACTGTAGCCGCTTCAGTACCAGACATGTCTGTTAACCAGAATACAGTTAGCTCCACGTTAAATAGTAACATTCTTCTCCTTAAGTGACGAGGACTGATCTGAATGGTATCTCTGCCTGTGTGACTGAAGCGTCTGGTTCGCTGATCAATAATCAGAACTCTTTGATCCTTTTCAGCTTAAATCAGTTGCTGCTGTTGTCAAGATACCGTCTGAGCATACTGACACTGCTGATCTTTGATTAACGCTACACGTAATAACAAGAAACAACCTTTGGTTTTCTCGTGATAATGGGTTTTGTGCTTCGGTAGAGATTTCTTTGATACTGAAGAAAACTTGATGATTCACAGATAATGAAATTCATTGTGACATTAACCGTCAGATATCGACAATAGATTGATCTCTGATGTTTCTCCCTGTGAGGTCTTGAGGTGAGCTTGAATTAACTGAGGTTACAGGTCGTTAGTGATGTGGGCGGGGTTACAGCATGGGAAGGCGACACCCCCACCTTTCCTCTCACTCATCTCCAGCAGCTGAGGCTCTCCGATCTCTAGGAAGAAGTTCTTGTTTTTCTCATATTCTTCATCATCAATTATATTGATCTGAATAGTTTTGCTGAAACAGAAAAAAACACAGAAAGGTTGCAGAAGGAGAAGTGTGCAGACGGCTGAGGCATGATGAGGAAAACAAGGTGATGAAAGATGCCAGAGACCAGAGCTGGAGGCTGCAGGGAAACAGCCTGAAAAACACTTTGAAGGTGATTTACACAACTCCAACCCAAGCAGCACAACATCTTGGCAATGTACATTTTTGCAAACCACCGATACGATGAGAGTCGTCGTTTCTGAACCAAAAATATGTTTCATAAATACGTTTCATATCCGTTTGGATCACACTCGCAGAAACGCACAACACGGGGTTAATGCTGTGAAACGAGACAACAAAATACTTCAAGTTGTTCAAAGATAATGAAATGTAACGACGTAGCGCAACGACGTAGCGCAACGACGTAGCGCAACGACGTAGCGCAACGCCGTAGCGCAACGCCGTAGCGTAACGACGTAGCGTAACGACGTAGCGTAACGACGTAGCGTAACGACGTAGCGTAACGACGTAGCGTAACGACAACAGAACTTAAAAGAATGGTCACTTGATATACTACGTAACTTTCTCTGACCAAATACAAAAAGCGTTGTCTTTCAACGTTTCCGTGGTTTGATGCCGACATCATCGTATGTTTGACGCTTTGTGCTCTGCAGTGAGTTTCAGCTGCAAATGGATCCTTTATATAAAACCAAGATGCTGATCTGATTAAAGACTAGTGATGAGCTTCCAGTTCAGACCAGTTTGATTTGAGGTCCCATAGATTCAGTGACCCAACATGAAGAAACCAGCTGACACAGTTAGAAGTTTGTTTGGAGGCTTCACTGGGCTGCAGGCTACAGCAGCCCTGATTGGACACATCCACTGTGTGTGTGTGTGTGTGTGTGTGTGTGTGTGTGTGTGTGTGTGTTTCCACACCGCCTTCATGCATTTCCATGTTTATTTAATGTGAGCAGATTGATAGTTTGGAGGTTTACCGTCTGTGAGTCTGTATATGATGGAGTGTGAAAGTCAAGTCCTGCAGTTAAAGTTTTATTTATAGACAACAATCACATATATTTGAATGTGTCCTGGTTCTAATAAATGTTTGTATCAGCTGTAATCTTTTTAAAATAAAGGAGAACATTTGTTTTTTATATCTTCACATTGTTACAGAATAATATCAAAGTTAAATCTACAGTAAACATAAAAGTTTTGTTTTTGATGACTAATAATAACTGTGATACAATGGCCTCTGTATTATAATAACAATTACATTTAAAGTGGATTTATGCTTCATGTTAAAGTTAAACGTTAGCTAACGTTAGCTGATGTTTAGCTTTCACAGACTGAAGGATGATTAAAGTGATGAAGAACATGTTCCAGTGGTACTTATACTTCTCTCAGTATAACTGGCTGATACCCGTTCAGAGTACTTTGATTTATTTCAGTACGAGGTGTTTCTTTCAGGCCACAGAGTTCTGGACAAACTAACATGATATGTTTCATATCTGTATGTGACGCTGTAAGAGACAAAACGTCTTTTACTTGACTTTGTGTATAAAGTACTACTAACTACTAATAGTGTTTCATTGATACTCGTGTGTATTCTGTATCACAGCAGAAACAAGAACTGACCTGGAGACAATAAAAGCATTCAAATGCAAATCAATTATTGAGGGAGAAATTAGCCAAAATAGTTTCTAAAAGAGGCTAAAACTCTTTACTACACCAGTGAGCCGTTACTATAAGAATACTGATTAGTAAAGCTAGAGTTCAACAGTAAGTCTGCAGTGTTACTCGCTCCCTCTCGGTTCTCCAACAGGCTGAAATAGAGAGCGAGAGGTCGGAGGTCACCTCCCTCTGTGAGAGGAAGCGGCTGCACTCATCTGTCTGCTTTATGGGGCGAGTGCTGGACGATGAGCAGGATCCTGCTGCTGCTCCACACAGGCGGGCCTAATAAGGAAGAGAGCTGCGTGATGTTTATCTGGCCAACACAGCGGCAGCACGACAGAGGACACGTGAGACACCGAGCTGGAAACCACTCACACTCACCGGAGAATAGAGACGACTGCAGGTCAACAAACATCCAACAACACGTTAGGTAAAGACTAAAGGAGCGCTCCACTCATTCAGTCAATTCAGTCATTGACTCAACATCGAGGGTTGAAGGTTGTTTGCAGAAGCTGAACCTGCACAAACACGACACAAAGAAAGCTGTGAGGTTGAAATGTTCCTTTAACTGAGCGTCTCTCGTCTCTTATGTAAATGAGGAACGATGCCGACATGAGCCTCAATGTAGAAGCAGTGGAGCTCACAGAGACTCAGCGTCTCCAGACACTTCTGGATGCTAAACTCTGTCATGTTTAGATAAAGTTCTGCACCTCGGGGGTCAGCTCTGCATCTTTCTTTCTCTCTCCGTCGTTCTGACTAGAAAAGGAAACTGATGATTGAAAACGGACGAAGTATAAAAAGTATTTTTAAAGTAATAATAAGTGAAACCAGGATACGTTGCTCTGTGATTGTGGATCAAACTGAAGACATTGTGACGCCGCTGCTCACCGTGAGATTCATCGTCTGTGTGAAGCTGGATGAAGAATAGATGAAGAATATTTCTCTCTTGATTTATTACCTCAGTAAACATTGTAAACATGAGTTTATGGTCTCAATCTCTAGTTTCAAGTCTTCTTCAATACAGCATGATGTTCATTTAGTACATTATGGTCCATTTAGAGTCAAACAGACCATAAAGCAGGGGATGCTTTAGGGCGGGGCTACACAGTGATTGACAGGTCTCTACCAGAGACGTATACGGCGTCTCTATGTCACTCCTCCTCAGTCCAGATATGGTCACTTCCTGTTCACTGGTTGATAACCCCCCCCCCACCAAAATAAATAGATGTGAGCTGGTGACTGGTCCGCAGCATTGACCTGTAACCTGAAGGCTCTATATAAGGCTCAGCAGGGTAAATGCAGGGCAGCTTCCTCATTAATAAACTGAAACAACGAGAGGAGCTTGCCACCTTTTCCATTTCATTTCCCGCCGCCTTCGCAGCCAGCGGCCGTGTTTACGCTCTGGAAATAAACGTGTTGTCATTTCATTCCTGCTGCCGGCAGACGTGGAAAGAGTCTGAGAGGCATGTAAGCCTGAGGCCGAGTCACATGATCGTGTTCAGGAGGAGCTCCTGTTCAATACCGACCATCATACAGCTGCTGCTGCTTACCACAACACTTCTAGTGAAGACACCAAATGTTCAGATTCTGACTTTTCTATGATTCTTTGATTGCAAAGTTCCCGATTTAAACCAGAATTTTACCACATTTATACTCAAAAAACATGAGAGAGCGAGAAAAATACTGGTAAACAAAAATGTACTTATACACCATAAATTAGGAGTCTGAGAATCGATGAGTATTGATTGATTAGAAAACCGAAAAAGTGTCCAGAAATTCATCCACATCCGTGTAACCACAGATCACCAGATCAGTCTGCAGGAAAAAAGCGACACAAAAAAAACAGATCTTTGCAAGTACCTGTACCTCTGCAGACCTGTGACATCACACCGTGTGTGTGTGTGTATGTGTATGTGTGTGTGTGTGTGTGTGTGTGTGTGTGTGTGTGTTTGTGTTTGTGTTTGTGTTTGTGTGTTTGTGTTTGTGTGTTAGCCAATCACCTGCACTTCAATCCATCGACAACAATCGCTGAAAGACATTTTGGGACCATTTTGTTCAATACTGCCTGAAAATCTTTTCCTCTATGTTAAAATGTTTGACAGCTGAAAGGTACATTATGGATGAAAAAATGGTAATAACATATCAGGTACACTGAAAGTATTGGATCACATTGACATTATTGGTGCTTCAGGCCCTGTTGTCTCTGTTTCCACCAGGCAGTGAGGGATCAGTGGGGAAGGACATAAGATGTCTTTTTACATTAAAGGTTTGTCCCCTGATCGTTTTGAATATTGATAAAAATCATAAAAACGTTGGTCATCTTTATATAGCACTAAATAAATAAAGATATTTGACCTGATGAACAGTTAGAGGATCAGTAGGATTCATCTTCTGAGGACCAAATGGATGTCTGGATCATATCTCATGGCTGCAAATCTAAATGTTATCTTTATAACTGTTTCCACCAACAGTTTACATCTTCAGAGGTATTTACATGACCAGAAACATGTCTGCTGATAAACCAGCATTCAACCGGAGAACACTGGACGTTGGTTTTATCGTCGCGAGTAAGTTGTGGAAATTTGAAGGAATATTGAAATACCTTAAAGATGGATAACAGGTAAAAACATGCACTACTAAAGTTTGCATAGTGGGCGCTAAATGACGGCTAACATAGTAACTTACAGCATTCTCAGGTCATGAATGGAGCCTCCCTCAGTACTGTACGCAGTAAGGTGGAAAGGTGGATTTGTGCAGCACGTCTCAAAATTGAGCGATTTGTGTCGGTGTTTTTAAACTGTAGCCATGATATTTCTAACTTCAACCACACAGTAATACTCATTCATGTCGTTGCACATTGCTTTGCCCATGTGAGCCTTTTTGTTTAATACAATGTGAGGTTTTGGAGAATCATCCACTGAAGACAGTTTGTGCAGCTGAAGGGCTGGTTGGTCAAAAAAAGTGTTCAAATCATCAGAACGTCCACGAGAGACATTTAACAAGCAATGTCAAGCAAATGTTGATTGAGAGAATAATACATTGAGGTCCACCTTGGTCCCACCCACGTTAACGTCCATGAGCTCCGTGTGAACTCATCAGCGCATGTTTAACCTTCTCTGACACATTGACCCGCTTCATCTGCCTAATTCCTTAACTCAGGACCCTTTGTCTAAACGTCCCCTCACAGACAAAGAACCATCAGTCATCAAACAGTAATCAATACAGTCAGAAATAATCTTAACATTTAAAAGTTTGTTTTGACATAAAGACTCGAAAACCCAAGACCCCTTGCAGAGAACTGACACAGAAGATTTGTACTTACAAGATCTCATCGTTCTCGAACTCCAGAACTCCATGTGTGTCCTCAAAGTCCTCGCCGCCTCCTTTAGCCGTCCCCTCCATGGTTTTGTACGGCACCATCACGACGCCGCGAGCTCCCGAGGTCCGGATCACCTTCACCTCTATCATCCCGACGCTCTCGCTCACGGTCACCGCCGGCTCCTCAAACGTAAAGATCCCTGCGTGGTCGTCATCAAAGATGGTGACGGTGGCCGAGCACGGCAGACCCAAACTTGCGAGGGCGTCCACGTGGTTTGCCTCGCGCTCGTCTGAGCCGGCGCCCTCTGATATGACCTTCACATTGCTGAGGTGAACCAGGAAATGCTCATCTTCCTCAAAGATATCATCGTCAATTATGTCAATGCGGAGTTGCTTTTCGGTCTCGCCTGGTTTGAACACGATAGTTCCTTCAGTGAACTGGTAATCTGAGCCGGCGTTTGCGGTGCCGTCTTCAGTCCGGTAATCCACGGAGACTGTGCTCGTTAGGTCTCCACCATGGCGCACAACGTTCAGGGCTACAGTGCCGCAGTTCTCCAGACACTGGTAGGTACCGGGGTCGAAGAACACCTTAGAGGAAAAGTCGTTCGCTGAAACCTCGGAGCAGATGTCGTGCTGGGTGGCTCTCTTGGCTTGGTCGGCGGCATGCTTCTTCAGGATATTTCCTGCTCCCGTCATGATCCTAGTGGCCTGACAGCGGTAGAAAGCCCGACTCTTCTGCTGCTGGCTTAAAACTTGATAATTGGCGAGCTCCATCAACTGCTCCATCTCCTTCTCGGGATGTTTCTGTTTCAGCTCCTTCAGGATCCTGGCCACCTCTCTGCGGGCCTCTTCCTCATCCAGCTCCTTAAAATCAAACCCTGTGTCCCGTCCGTCGGAATTCAGCATTTTCCCGTCCATTTCGATGTCGACCTTTGAGGGAAGCTCTGGTTCTCCCTCTGTTTCGATGATCATTCCTTTGTGCTTCCCTGCTCTGTATCGTTTGTGCATGTATTTGTAGAAAAGGAGTCTGCGGTCGGCCACGTAAGCGAATCCAACACAAATGGGGAAGAAGAAGAGCGTGACCAGACCCTCCCATATCTCAACAACGCCTGGAGAAAAGACGGCCAGGATCAGGTAAAGCCAGATGTATGCAAAGACGCTCCAGGTGGCGGTGACGAAGAACACCCTGAGGTGCTTCACCTTTCTGGTTTCTCCTTCAGGAATGACGGACACACAAAGGCCAATGATGACAAACATGTTGAAGGCGGCACTTCCTACGATGGTGTTGGGGCCCAGCTGGCCGGCGTTAAAGTTGTGACCACAAACCTCCACGACCGACAGGAGGATTTCTGGGGCGGAGGAACCCAGCGCCATCAGGGTCAGGTTGGACACCGTCTCGTTCCAGATGCGCACCGTCGTGGTGATCTTCTCACCGTTGGGCTTCTTGATGGTGATCTGTCTCTCCTGGGAGGTGATGACCTCGATGGACGCCATAAAGCGGTCAGCGATGATGGAGACGCCCAAGAACATGTATGCCAACCCCACAAAGTAGACAGTGGCCCTGGCGAGGCGGTCGGTGAAGGCCGGGTTTTCTGGCTTCCACACAGGCAGGATGACGCCTTCAACGCAGACGCTGCCTCCTCCACATTTGGTGGTGTGGTTGCTGAGCGTGTCGTTGGACGTGAGGGTCAGAGCGGAGCCTCCGGCCACAGAATCTGGAAGTTCAGATGAGATGATGATCGACAGGAAAAGCAGCTGATACGTGGAGAACCGTGACGAGGTCCCGGATCGGCTCATGGTGACCGTTGAGCTTAAACCTGCAAGACACAGAAGGAGATTTTAGTGCCTTTCTGTCGGATCATGTTTGAAACTGGTTTGAATGGACGACTTCTCGACTTCCCTTCTCCTGAATCACAGAGACAAACAGTTGTGAATGTTCACGTGACGTGATTTTAACACAAGATGTTCTTCAATCTTTCTCCAAACATGAACAGTAACTGACTAATAACTACACAAAGGTAGTTTTGTAGAAGTATTTAGAAGTTATGATCAGTTCTTGACAAAACAAAGACAATTGACAATTAAATTAAAAACTACTTTTTTCTTTGACTCATACATTTTTAAGGACACTAAACACTGTTTTATGGACCAATAATATTCTAACACCACTATAACATAGCACCGTGCCATACTGTAGTATTATATAAAATGTAGTGCTGTACTGCCTGCTCTATTGCAGTACTATACAATAATACAGTTACACATGTATATAAAGCACAGAACTGTGTAAAGGAGAAACCTACCAAACAGTTTCAGTCTCTGACAGAAACTCAAAGAAACGAGAAGAGTTTTCCTCGTGGAGGCAGAAACACCAATAAAGCGTCTTCAGAAAAACAACAGAAGGCTGTCAGAAACCACTAAACCAACAAACCACCAAACCACCAAACCACTAAACCACTAAACCACCAGACCACCAAACCACTAAACCACCAAACCACCAAACCACCAAACCACTAAACCACCAAACCACCAAACCACCAAACCACTAAACCACTAAACCACCAAACCACTAAACCACTAAACCACCAGACCACTGAACCAAAAAAACATAAAACCACCAAACCACCACACTGCTGTCTGCTGCAGTCCCACTGAGGACCCCACTCTGCCTTCTTCTGTCTCTCTCTGTCTCTGTCTCTCTCTCTCTCTCTCTGTCTCTCTCTCTCTCTCTCTCTCTGTCTCTCTCTCTCTCTCTCTCTCT